ATATTTGAGCAAGTACATAACCAGCCAGTGTTCAAAACTATCGCCTTACTTTAGCCCGATTCACAACGGTTAGCTTATAATAATGTTTTCTAGTTTGAGTGGTACGGGGAAGGTTTCGCTGGAAATTCGAGCATGGCACTGCGTCATTACGTCACTTATGTAAACATAAAGAAGCTGTCCCGGCTACTAGGCTATCTATCGCGTGTGACTGAGGATCCTGCAGGTGGCCGATCGTTTATAGCCTTTTCTCACAGCAGCTAGAATAATTAAATGTATATCATTTTGATGGCGGATTGTAATCCAGAAAGTATTATGTGTTTATGAAACACGTGACTGAAATTAAATTATTCCAGTTTTAAATGTGCATCTGATTACAGATAGCCTGGGATTACACATGATTTGTATTTTAAAGAGAACCAGTTCGAATGAAGAATAATTAGCTTTTTGGGTTAAAAGAATTTCTTAATATGAAATTTGAATGGTATGACAATTAGAGATTAGACTGTACAGAAATTGAAATCTACATGCTAATACACTTGGGATAGCAAAACTCGATATTATCGTGGTCGCATGACGATATGAAACAATAGGTCTTCTGGGCAAAAATATATTTGTTTTAAGCCATTATGCCTTGGCACAGTATCTGTCAAACAAACTAAAACTGAAAGCACAATATGGCTTAATCCTTTTATCAAGTCTGTTTTTGCAGCGTGTGCCAAAGCGAAGCGCACACATTGTTGAGGCGATCAGCTCGTGATCCGGTGTTCACAGTGAATTAATGCAGTGAACTCGTTTATTGCATATGCTGTGAGTTTAGCGCGCGTTTAGGAACGCTTTATGCTTTATTTTCGCGGCAGATGATTACAGCATTTCACTAGATTTGTAGTGAGACGCATTTTTGTATTTTCACAGAAGCTGCGTTCCCTTTAAAATAAAAGCTCTAACGTTACTGCCGTTTCCATCAAAATAAAAGCTTAAAAGTGCAGCATGAATTGCTGACAGCTAGAGGTTTAAATGGGTAACGTTACTATAGTCCAAATTCAAAATATCTCTTTCAAGTGTAGAAATTAGGAAAGAAGTATTGTAATTTCCCTACTGTAGTGTAAAGCAAAAATAATATACCTATGAAATATTCATTTTCATTTATTTTACAGTGCAATTGTTTTACAATATGCTACTACTGTCATTGTTGTTGTTATTATTTTTTCAATTCTTCATTTCTCTTTTTTCTTTTTAAATATCGCAATAAATATCGTATCGTGGACTTCATATC